CTCCTGTTTCCTACGGAAGCTGAGCCTACCCTTCACCTCGGGCTGTGGAGTGTCCAGTCTGGGGTCCGGCACTCTCTGTCTGTCCACGTGTCTGTACTCACAGCCTCCCGATCTGGGGTGGGACACCTCTCCAAGCCAGCCCTGGTCTGCAGCCCACAAGCACCTCACTCCTCCCCAGTGGCAGAAGGAGGCCTTCGCTACCTCCAGCCCGCCTTGGCCTCCACGGTGCAGGGGTAACACCTCACGCTCGAATTCTCCTCGATATTTCATAGTGAAGGTATATTAGAAAATGATTTTGTCCCAGTTCCTTTTCACAAGTGGAGAAACTGAGGGCCAGAGAGGGAGAACATGAGTGCCCTGCATGGGAGTTCTTGGGCCATGCCGGTCACTGGAGGTGCCTGCGGTGCCAGGTCTGGGCCTGCCTCTCACTCAAAACTTCTTGGCTACTTCCACCCCTTGGGCCTTGGTTTCTCCAGCTCAGCTGGATTTGAAATTTCTCTTCTGAAATAGAGAAGCTAGGCCCAAGCCCAGACCTACTGAACCCAAACTGGCAGGGGTGAAGCCCCAAATGCGGGCGACGTCCCTGCGGCAGAATGTGGTTGCCCACACGGGTTCGGTCGCTGGCTGAGGGCACGGTGTGCTCCGGCCAGCTGTGCGCAGGAGCTAAGACGGGAAGGGGGAGAGGGTGGAGGGCAGAGGGCACTCCGAGAGCACCTGGCCTGGAGTCTACCACGAGGCAGCAGGGGCGAGAGGAGGCGTGGAGCAGGCTCTGGGAAGCAGCACGAGTGATGACGGGATTGGTCGAATTCTAGTTGTTTCCCACGGACTCGGCGTCAGCGCACACCCAGTCCCGAATTATCCCCATCCAGGCCAGACTCAGACTCAGACGTCCTGCAGATCGGCCTCCTCCGAAGGCGAACGCCCGAGCACGCTGTACCCCTTCCCTGGTGCTCACCCTCTCTGCACCTGCCCACGGGCAAGCCCACCACCCATGGGATGACGGCGCCCAAACCTCAGTCCCTCGTCCAGAGCTTCCGCAGTGCCTCACACTCAGGTCCGTCCCACTCATTCCCGGACACTCCAGGGCCTCAGGCTAATCACTGCCCCAGCGGGACTCACTGCCCTCTCCACACCCTCTTCCCCTTCTTTCCCCACTTCCTCTGCTTAGTCTCCAAAGACAGAAACCGAGACCTCCCCCAGGACCCCCATCGGTCCCTCGGCTCTGTGATCCCTTCCGGGGCCTCTCACAGTGACCCTGCCCTCCCCTCTCACACTCACCCCTGCCCTCCCCTCTCACACTCACCCCTGCCCACCCCCAGGCATGTGCTTTGGCTCCTGCTTTACCCTCGCAGGTCTCTCCTCTGATCCTTTCCAATCCTCCTCCACCCCACCCGGAGAGAGCTTTCTCACGCACACATGAGCGGGTCCCACCCAAACCTCTCCTTGGAGCCCAACTTCCTGCTAGATAAAAGCCCATCTCCTGGACGGCACCACAGCCCTGGGCCGGCCTGCCCCTGGCTCCACGCCTCGCTGAGATGACCACAGCTTCCGTCCATAGACGCCTCTTGGGACGTGCCTACGCCCCTCCTTCAGGAAGTCCGTGTTCTCTCCCGGAATGTCGGCCAGACTCAGCCCCTAGCGAGAGGACGAGGCAGGCGTGATGCCGTGCGACGTCCGAGACCAGGTCGCAAAGCAGACACTCTGCGAGCTCAGACGGCGCGTCGTAAGGAAGCCCAGTCTTCCCACTCGGACGGCAGGGCTACCTGTGCGTGCGCCACTGGCAATTCCAGCCCAGTGC